CCTCCTCTTGAAGGCTTCGGCAAGCGGTAGAAATACTTCATTACGATGAAAGCTTCTGCCGAGTCTCTTCTTCTCTACGTCTCCTCTCTCCCCTCCGTTTTCTCGTGTGTTTATATATTCTCTACTCCTCTTTCGTTTCGCCCTCTTTGTGAACTTCTCTCTCGAGGGTGTTTGCATCGCATGCGTGCGTTTTTACAGTGCAATATCGGAGGTACTTTTAGAGGGAAAGATTGGGACTGAGATGGAATTCCATTACAATCTCTGTGACAAAAGTGTCAAAATCTTGTTAGAAAGATATTAATATTTATTACTTTCACAATAATTTCTTATACATATCATTAATATCTTTATTAATAATCTTTTTTATCAATAATCTATTTATTTTAATAACTTGTTATCAAAAATGTTATCGAAACTTGTTATCGAAAATTTAGTAGCGTATATTAAGTTTGTAAAATAATTTTATAAATTTTTTATTTAGTCTGAATTGTTTATATCATCTTTTTATCTTGACTTTTCTGTCTCAATCGGAATTGCTATTATCCTCAGAAGGATTGAACCATCAGCTCGAGTGGAGTCTCGAAGACGAAAGGGGCAAGGTTCGCACGACCAACTTGCACAACACGTTACAGCGAGCTCCAATAACTAAATTAGCTCTAAGCGTTTCCCGACAGGGCACTCACTTTAAAGAACCACTCTCTTCCTCTCTTGTGCCACGATTACTCCCTTCAGGATCCACCCCCAAACATCCTCTGGATGTCGTGAAACGTGGTAAATTGCCGGCTCGAAAGATAAACGCGGATCGCCATTTACTAATTGATGCAATAAAATCGGGCGCTGTTTTATCGCATTTTCGGATCGAAATTATTTCAGCCGCTTGCGAAGTATTTATTTTGACGAGAAAAGTATTTGATTGGATTTCTCTTATTACACATACAAATCTCAATTTACACATACAAATCCAAAATTTTTTTTAATTTTAAGATTGAAACTTCAAAACTTTGAAGATTTGCAGTCGCAAGAACTTGCAAATTAAGAGATTATAAAATGTCTCAAAGTCTCTCCAAAGCATTTCAAAGTTTTAAAAATTATTGCTTTCGAGAATCATTAGATTCTAATGCGAACACTGAAAAAAAAAATTGGGTAACGAGAACTAAATAGGGATGGGCAAACCCTTCAAGTCACCAATTTTGCCGATCTTTTTCAGGAATGTAGTATACTCGTATAGAAGTAACAAATGCTATACGGAGACGATGCGACTCTCAAGCGTTTACCAGAAATCGCGGTGTGAATTTTAGCACTCTCCTTTAGTACTATTGCAGTAAGGCGTTGTTCAAGGATTAAGGCTCCTGGGTAGTCACCGCGGCCATATTGAATTTCTTGCTATCGAGGCGAGAAATTACTTTATTTTAGGTTGCGGTAAATTCCGAAATAAAAAGACATTTCAATAAAAAATCACTATAGATCGTTTCAGCACACTTCTAAAATTTAACGGATACTATTCTTTTCCCTCGACAATAAACAAACAGCCATAAAACGAAGCCTAAACATACGGAAAAACAAGCCGTTTGACGACTATCGAAAGGAGTGTAGAATATTCCTTCCGCTATATATTTCTTGCAAATCTTACCATACGTTAAATTTTACGAGTTTCACGAATACGTTAAACGTTATAGCACAAGTACAGAGCGAATAATAAAGAAATTTAACGCAACGCAAAATAGGTTGTCAACATGTCACAAAGGACAATTCTCCATTGGAGAGAGTTCTTATTTCTGCCGCGACGGTACGTCGCCACCGTCAACGCACAGTTCTCGATCAGCTTAAGGACCAGGAGCCTTAGGCGTCAGACTGCAAGTCCGAAGGTTGCGAGTTTGCGCCCCGTCGTCTTATTTTTATTTTTTAATAATTCTTATATTATTATAAAATATATACAACGTATTTATTATTATTATTATTATTGTTGTTATTATTTTTATTATTTTTATACAAAAAGATATATTTACTGTTATAATTTAAATATATTTAAATTTATATTTAGATTTCAGACTGGTTAATAATTAATTAAGAAACAAGTTTTGTTATAAAATACATGCGTTATATATATAAAATATATATATATATATATGTTTTGTTTATTTAATTATTATCAGTCTTCAAAAATAAGGTTACATTAACATTGACATCAATCCAAAAGTGTGTCACATTTTATTATAAAAGTGTGGACTCCACGATACAACTGATATAAGTTGTGCAGTTCCGTCATTTATACATCGTTCTTATAGCATCGTTGGTCGAATTTTAAATAGGAGAAACGGATCCTATCAAATGCCATCTATCGGATGATTCGGACATTTGCATAGTCATTTGCTAGTGATGGTTCAGTACTGTCTGACAGAATATTGGCCGATGTGCGGGTGCCAACCATTGGCCAACCGTAGGGCTTTGTCACAACGCCTGCCTATCCTGTATAGGTAGGCAGTCAGTTATTTGCCACTGTTGGTCGAGTACTGGCTGACAGAACTCTGGCCGACAGTTGGCTGTCCTACGTTGGCCAAGCGTCGGCCTTCGTTGCAACGCCTGACTATTCAACAACCAGTAAATTGCCAATGATGGACCAGTATTGGCTGACAAATTCTTGGTCAATGGTTGAACGCCCTAGCTCCGGCCAAGCCTTGGCTACCTTGCCACTACGGGCAATTCCTACATGGAATACTGTGCATAAAATAATGAATGTTTTTCTAATAAAATATTGGCGAATTTTAAAATAACAGTTTTTAAGGCGTGCTTCTCGCGCGCGAAAAACGATTCATTCGGTTATAATCCGTTATAATAATACGCAGAAAATCTTTAGTATTCGAATATTTTTGTTTTATATAAAGAAAATAAGTAATACATATATTTATTGGTTACAAAATCAATAAACACCTATACAAATAGGTGTACAAAAAGATAATTATAATAAAATAACTGTAGTCATTTGTCATCTTGATCTGTAACATTTACACTCTTTAGGATGATATAAATCAACTTTTTGTACATCTATTTGTATAGGTGTTTATTGGTTTTGTAACCAATAAATAAACCAATTAATAAATATATGTATTACTATATTTCATTGTTATTTCATTAAATATCAAAGGCTCAGACGATTAATCAATTGAGAGCATAGAGCCGCAATAAGATGTTAACGTTGAAAAACTTGTGGTTGTGATAAAATTCATCTACAGACGTTTCGGTCTGCTACTATACCATCTTCAGAATTGTTATTTTATTATATTGAAATATTTCCTTCGCTGTTTCATGAAAAATTCTTGTGGCTAGTCAGAGTATTCGCAGTTAAGAAATAAGATGACATTCTTCCGCATACCTTTAGGATCGGAAAAAAAGTGAAAGGTGACGCGCTCGCCCGTTAAATTCCGAATCGAGAATGAGCTCCGGAGCTTTTTGCCGCTCTGCTTGGGAATTTCGCGACAGTGGGCAAGGGAGGAAAGGGACAAAATTCGCTGCAACGAGGTGGATGTGTATCATCCAAAAATATGCTTGGCGGCGAAAGAGCGACGGGAAAGTGTCGCGTCGACAAAAAAAGAAAACGTGGAGGAAGAAGCATGGGAGAATAAGGATGGCTTGGGCAGGGGAAGGGAGTGAAAGCTGGGGAATGGAAAATAGAAAGGGGGTGGTACACCGAAGGTTTGAGCGTGCGCATCATTTTTACCGAGAAGGAGGAGAAAGAAGAAAAGAAAGAGAGAGGAGAAGGCGAAAGAAGAAGAGTAGGAGGAGGAGACGCTTCCCTTATTCGACGTCGCCGGGGAAACGAAAAATGGGGGATAGACGGTGCGAGGCAAGGAAGAAAATGACGGATAAAGGAGCTCGAGGGAGTTGCGGAAGGTCCTTTGTTGACTGGGGTATTTAACGGAAATACTAGACGGAATATCTCCGTCGACGCTAAATCACGCGGACGTGTGCGCGAAGTCGTTCATAAAGGAAGCGACGAGAAATAATATGTCGCGACAAAATGACAATCTCGATTGTGCAATGAATAATTCTCGCTGCGTTGAAAATTTTTTCTAAAATCGCGAATAAAATGTGTCTTTTAATTAGCAGTTGTCCTTAGTCGGAATTAAGTTTTCGGCAGCATGATATTGCATTCTGAGAAATTATGTTTGTCTTATATTAAAGAAAATTATCTTTCTATTTATAGAATTTTGATAATTTACATACATATATATTTACATTTTACATTTTATATAAGACATTTGTATAACATACATTCACATAATGCGGGGAATACCTATCTTAATACAACTAACTTTTTTTTAAATTAAAATTATATTTAATTTATTCATTTTACTTTAAAATAAAAAAAACGAGATGTAAAATAATTATCTATTTATTGTTATAACCAATTTACTAACTTGTCCGTATTTTTGTGTGCGTCCGGAGCTGCAAGTTTGGAAGCGAAATGTCCGGAGTTTTGAGCCTATAAATTCTTATAGTTTTGAAAATTTATTATAGTAACCTTAGTTAGGCCTGACTTTCATTGTCTGGTCCGATTGATTTACAGCCTAGACCATAAATGATAACGGATTTTACTAATATTTTAGTGAAAATTATACTGTTTATTTTTAATCCTCAGATGTTTGTTTTAATGTTCTCGGACAGCGTCAGATTATTTAATTTATCTATTATTTAATTTATCCACTTCGTGAAAATGGCTCAAAGTAGGTAGGGCCGAAAAGAACGATTTATAACTTTGTATTAAATTGTTAATTAAATGTTACATAACGTTAACTCATGCATAACTAACTGCGTTTGATTCTCGAAGTCCACTTTTTCCTTGTTACTTGTTAAGATGTGTAAATCTCTTTTAAATTATCAAAATTTTAGAAATAAAAAGAATTCGGGGAAACCTCAAGGTTCAATCTTTTCAAGAAAGTGGTTTTTCGAAGTTTATGGTCATTCGTAGAAAGGAAACCAAGAAATTGAACATTTTCACTTACCGAGTCTCTTGGAAATTTCGCTATTGTGCATCTTCGGATTTTCTTGCGCAATCTTCCGTCGTTGTAATCGTGACCAAACCATGAAAGCGTTCATGGGCCGTTTGATGTGCTCCGCCTGCATCTTCTTGCCTGCCGAACCGAGTGCACTACCCCCCGCGAGGCCCGCTACTGCCATGTGACTGACACTACCCGGTGGAGATGTACCCGTCATCCCCTGAACGCTCATGCGGAGAGCTTCGGGGAAGGAGCCGTCGCACATATTGCCGCCGGCTCTGAAATCAAAGATATTTATCAATTAGGACTGCTATTATGTCGATCAATTTTAGGGTACATAGATCGAATTGAATTAATTAGACTGATCTATTGATCAGGAACTCTTATTAATTCAATCAACTTTGGAATACTTTGGGATCCTTGGGGAGATGAAATTGTCAGAGTAAAAAGTAAAGAATGATCGAATTTGTTTTTTTCTCTCTCTCTTTTTTTCTCTTTGACATTCTTATACAACATTTCAATAATCTTTCTGGTAATGTTTGAAATTTCTTTCGCAAAGCGAAATATTAGGAAGAATTAGCGAGCATTATTTCCATCGGATGTTAATTAATTAGTAGAATTCAAGTAAAGTTTATTACTGTCTATGGTCAGCAATTTATTCACTTTTAACACATTTTAATATTCAACACACTAATTAAACACTTTTTAAACACACAGTTTTAAACACCTCGATTTTCGAAGAAATAATTTATGCACTTTGAAGCAAATCACGCACGAGAATATAACACATAAATCACTTATAATTATTAACACATATGTCTGATAATTTTATTATTGACAAGAGATTACTATCTCCAATAGTTGAGTAATACAAAAACGGAGACATTTAGATGGGTTAATTGTCCCATTTTTTGATTAAATTGAGACGATTTTTAAAATTTAGATGTATATAACTTTACTCATCAAAGAATTTACCGTTTTTTTTCGATAATCTTTGGTCATCTTTTGGGTAGCTTTATGATTTTATCTATATAGAATTTCTCAGTTTTCTGAACAAAAAATTGTTTTATTTTAAGTGGTTTTTGCTTTCTGGGGAAGTGAAATTTCTTTGTTGTTAAAGCAGTTTTGCAGGGGCCGGAATAAATGGTAATCGAAGCGTATAAAGTCTGGCGCGTGAGGTAGAATATCCCAGTCAAGCCGCATCAATTTCTACAGATCAAAAAGACAATGCGGTCTTGCGTTGTCATGGTGGAACACAATTATTTTACACCAAAAAGTAAGTGTTTGTTTCGCCAATAATATTTAATCAAAAGAATATATTTATATCGACAAATAGTGTGACTAATAAAAAAATATTCAGATACGATTAATCTAAAAAAAGACACGGATAATTTAAATCCCATATACGACAACGTCATACGACAACGAGCGTATAATTGTTTTGTTTTTCTGCTGTTAGGTACTCTGATAACCTTGTTAATGTTTAACATATACGAAACGACCAGTTCGTTCCTGACTCCCATCGTGTGAACATGAGTCGCTGTGTGGCTCGAGAAAATTGTGATATTTTGGTTTTATATATTGTAACTCGCCAGCATAATACGCAATGCTAATTTTGGTGCCGTCGTGGGACATTCTCTGTGTAAATAAGTACTCTTTATTTTATTTTCTGGGGTTTGAACATCACTCTATTAGTTATTAATTTTCTAGCCTCTCATTTGTGATGTTTCTGTCAAAATCTCATAAGCACTAGACTGAGAATGTGTCGACGATGGTGCTCGTTTCCTCATCAAGTATTTAAATTTTTGCTCCTTAAAATTTTCGCATTGACTTAAAGGAATTTCTTTTATACTTTTTGAAAATTTTAACTTTTAACTCTTAAATTATAAATTTTAACTATTGACTATGTTATTTGGCTGTATTTTTGCTTTGTTAGATCGCTTGATAAGGACCCGAATCCTGGGTTGAAACGTCGTGAAGCTTTATGTACTTCTGCTAATTGTTGTCGTTATAAATATATTCTTTTAATAATTTTACAATTGGCCAATTTCTTCTGGTCGATTGCTGCTTTCAGTTAGTTCAATTGCGAGCAGTACACATTCAAATTAATCGTTTGATTCCTTGGTAAGAAGCTCGTAATACAAGATTCTCTTCCAATCCCACCAGATGCAAAGCGTTACCTTCTTCGGATGAACTTTTGCTTTTGGAGTCATCATATAAATGCTTCCTCACCTTATCTGCTCCCGAACCTCTTTCGCACCATATTGTTGTAAACAATCCAATTTTCATCGCCATTGCCGATTTGTTTCAAAAATGGATTATTTTCGTTTCGTTTGTACAGTGACTCGCATACGGAAATTTTTTCCATCAGTTTTTTTCCGAGAAATTATGCGGTACCTAAGCACCGAGACGACTTACGTACATATGCATATGTAAATGTTCCACAACAGTTATTCGTGATATTTTGAGAATATCCGCAATCATACACACACTCGAGTTGTATAAGGCGGATTATTTTCAATTAATATCTTGATTTCATCGTTATTAATCTCGATCGGCTGTCCTGCATGAGCGTAGTGCGTCGGATAAAAATTTCCGATTCGTTCATTTACTGCATTCTCTCCGTACACAGCACAAACTCTGTGACCTTAGCATCCCCATCACTAAAAAAAAGCTCGGGCATACACGGCATAATAAAGTGTTAATTTTGTGCTAATTTATTGCTCTAGTTTCGAATTTTGTGTTCCTATCCATTCGCAGGAAATTATTAGCAAAAGTGGGGGTGCTGCGGGTTCACGTTAAGCTAGCACCTCGACTTTTGAAAAACACGTATAGAGTATTGTAAACAAAAAATTACTATATTAGAATTTTGTGCTGATTTTGTGCTCTTAAAATATCCCAATCCGGAATTTGGTGCTCATTGTTTAACTTAACCCTAGAACGGTACACTAGGTTAGCGTAATTTATAGCGATTTCAAAAGTCTCCCCACTTCTATACCGTACAGAGACGAGGGACCAGAAAAAGGTGAGCTCTCTGCTAACTTGCATCCATACTCGAACCAGTGTATTAAAGATTGTCGTGCAGCAAACATTAAGAGTTAGTTACACTGCGTTACACTAACCCAGTGAAGTGTCAATGTTATTAAACCAGTAAAATATAAATTTTTGGTTCAATTTTTACGCGTTTTTTCTCAAGTGTTTTATGTGAGTGACTTTCAAATAATGAATTAAAGAATATTATTCAATTTTCCTTATAGAATAGTGCTAAAAAAGTGTCTTGGCGCATTCTTGAAAACAGCGTATTTTTTTTCTACTAAAAGTTTGTAAGATGTTTGATTTTATTGTATTTTATTACATATCGTATTAAGTATTCAACGAATATTTGAGTAAAAGTAGTGTTTTTTTACAGAAACATCTCTAAAATGAGGAGATACGTTTATGGTAGCGGCGCGCCTATGAGAGATGTGCAGAGCGTCCCGTTCTCGAGGATGCCTCGAACTCCGCATTGTAGTAAATGCGCCGTACCAAATAATTCATAAACTTGGAGTGCGCACTTGCCGAAACGACCGTTAGAATTAACCGATTCGCCAATAGTTACGGGAAAAGAAGGCCCTATGTATACTTAAAGGGTACCCCACGGTAAGATAGGCAAAATGCCACTGTCAATGAAACGGAAAAATGATTTTGGATCTGTATAAGTACACTAAAAAAATAATTTTCTACGATTTTTCCGACTATCCATTTCCTCTCCTTTTCCTAGTGGCACCAAAAAACCGCTTTTTTCAAAAATTATTTTTTTCTCCGGTTTCTTCATGTTAAAAATTTTGAAAAAATTTGAGAATATAGCTTATAAAAACTACTTAGCACACAATTTTTTTTAGCTTTAGGCGCGTTGAATATCTAACCTAAAAAAATTAAATAAATATTTGAATCAATTTTTTTCTAATTTCTTTGATAGTTGCAGGTCTAATTACTCTAGAAAATTGTATATTTTAGTGTTCTATATGTATTAGAATTTTTTCAGATTTTCCGGAATGGTGAGCCGTACTCAAAATTGCGAAAAACCCTATTTTTAGCCACTTTTGGGCCTTTTATGGTCCTCAAATGATTGATAGTGCCTTAACTGACTCTAAAATAAACATAATATATTACTTTTGGATATATGTTGTCAATATTTGATACATTCCGATACGTCTCATATGTTTTTGAGCATGAAATCAGTCATAACTCAACGAGAAAACCCTAATTTTTGTATAAAAATGCCTATTTTTCGTCGATTTCTGGATTTTTGGTTATTTTATCTAAGTTTTTTTTACATATGATTGGTAAATGTGAATATAAATATAATAAAAAATTGTACCTCTTATGCATATATTTCAAAGAAATCGTTCATTTATTCAAATATATACATTTTCATGAAAAAAAATTAATTTTTATGATTCCATGATTGTATTTTATAATGAAACTTTGAATTTTGGAATTAAAAAATGAAATAAACATTTTTTTCCTTAATTTTTCATCTTATAACCTTAATGTTACTTCATAATGTACAATAACGTAAATTTCAATTTTTGATATTTGTTAATGTCATTAGAAATTTATTATTTATCAATTTTTTACTTAACATTTCATATTTAATGTCAAATCACGCAAAAAATTTATTTTTTACAACACCTCCACGAAAAGTTCGAAAAGTTACTAAAACTAAAAAATTACCTACATTTACCATTCAAAATAATTATACTTTTTGGAAGTAATTGAAAATGTGCATTAATTCTTTTACAATCCCAGTTATCAACACTCATTTTAGAAAAAAATATGATTAAATAAAAAAAACCGTAATTTTACTCAATTAAAAAAATTTTGTTTTAATATTTTGTAATTAGCTCCTGTGCACACAAAAGTTCTTTTTGCTTTCTAATATAGATATTCGAGTTTCTGAGATTCTAAATTATCGCTTTAAAAAAAATTGTCCTAAAATGTGCAATTGATCAAAAGTTATAGTAAAAAGGTTCCACAAATGACTACTTCTTTGACTGCAAGTGAATGTCTTTTTAAGAAGCACTAGGTTACGTATTACCACCGTATCACCATGCACGCACGTATACTACAGCGCGGACCGTGAGCAGTATACGAGCTTGCGTGAGCGCGAGTGTCATTTGTTAACCGATCACCGAAGTAGCATTTTAGAATATTTTCTTTGTTTCAGAAACTATTCTTAACAGGAGACTTTTAGAGGGGAATATTCTAAATTTTTTAGAATATTTGATTAGAGGAA